CACATTGTATTTTGTTTAAATTTTGGGAATTTTGATAAAGACATGTTGGATATTTTGTCTATGAGTCCAAAGTCTCTTTTACTAGGAGTGTATGCAACTTTACTTGGGACCCTTTGGAGATGTTCAGGGTAGATTTTGGCTAACTCCTTCTTGTTATGTAGCGTAGTCCCCACTTATCCACAGGGAATATGTTCCAAGACCCCCAGTGGATACCTAAAATCATAGATAGGGCTGCGTCCTTTAAATACTATGCTTTTTCCTATGCATATGTACCTATGATAAAGGTTATTTATGAATTAGGCAGAGCAAGAGATTAACAATAATATCTAATAAAATAGAATAATTATAATAATGTGTTGTAATAAAAATTATGCGAATGTGGTTTCTCTCTGTCTTTCAAAATATCTTAATGTTCTGTACTGACCAATTTTCAGACCCTGGTTGACTGTGGGTAACTGAAACTGCAGAGAGCAAAACCATGGATAAGGAGGGCCTACTGGAATTGGTAACTATAAGGAAAGAAAATATCAACAAAAAACTTAATCTTTTATTCCTCCAAACTTACCAGTTTTGACAATAGGGGAAAATAATTCTGGGGAACACCTTCTAAATTCTCTCCAATATCGTAATTGTTTCAAATGAAGGATCAATCTCTAGATCCATGCCCTCTCTATCCTAAGCATGCTTGAACCAGAAAAACTCTGGGAAGGGAGTGAAAGGAGTGACCAGCTGTATTCATTGCTCCTTTCTATGACATCCTCTACCTGGCACATGAGGATCTACAACACCTAAATTGGTTCACGCTCTTGTCTGAGTATGGATGTGTCCTGATAAGAAATGGAAAAGTTCTTTACTGAGTCTTTTGTGACACCCTTTGTTGATGCTGTTTTCAAATTATCGAGACACCTCAGAATCATTTTTCATTTCCCCAATTTATTGACAGCCCACAGCATCTTTCTATTTTTAAATCCATAAGGGCCCTCAGAATGGGCCTCCTAATCGCTCATATTAGTAATATCCTTTGCCTCTGAATCTGTCTATTTTTGTATAATCACAATGGTATGTTCTAACCATAACTTAAAATCATTTTCTCTTCCTTTTGACATAGCACTGCCTAAATATGTATGCAAATTCTGAGAATTAGTTTGAACCAGTGATTGCAAAGCTTGTTTAATGCTATTCTATAGTTGCTGTAAAGCAGCCAAGGACTCTGATTTGGCTGGCAGAGGCAGGTCTTTAAATAGTCCCAGCCTAACTGCCTCTGGCTTCTCTCTTTCCAGTAGGTTTCAGTGTCATAAGCAATTCAGAATCCAATGAAACTAAAAAATATATTTTCAGAAAGGTTTTTTTAGAAATTCTCACTTATTAAACATAAGTGATATGTTTTAAGTTTATTTCTCTAAATGCATTTTCCCCTCAAAATATAATTCTACACTAAACATGCTCTACACACTAGCTCGAGAGCTTTCTGGTGGTTGTCAGGAACCAACATATCTTATTCTGTGTCTACTTTGCCTCTGTACAATATAAGTGTGGTTTTACTGGTAGTTGTGATGAAAATGTAGCCCTGGTTCAGACTGATGATAATGTAATGAACCTGTCATCAATGTGCTGTTGAGGATAAAGACCAGTGAAGGAAAACACCTAACAGAGCCCAGGTGACAAAGAACTTTATATATCTCCACCTGTTAAATCTGTAATTCTTTCATATATTCACATGTGTGTAAGTGCATTTAATTTGGCATACATACACACAGGGGAAATATTCCCATCTCACAGAGTATAACAATCTTGAAAGATAAAGATACATATGCAAATGTGGGTGTTCTATAAATGTAGCTCAGTGACTCTATAAGAAAATTAAGTATAAATTAAAAAACAAAACAAAAAAGTTATTTAGATGCTATGATTCAGTAGAGGATGCATTTAGCAACAGAGATTATTTGCCAATAGACATTAATAAAGTGAGACAAAAACAAGTTGACTCACAATAAACTTGCTAGTTTGGCTTAATAAAGGATTTGCTATTCCTTTCTTTTAAGAAGCCCCCAAACCTTTAAAAATGAGTGCTCATCATACTGGTAAAATAGGATACCCACATGTTTTATTACTACCAATTAAAAGATAAAGGAATAGAGAAATTAAGAGCATTTAAGAACAGAACTAAAAATAACTTTTATTTGAAAGTTTAGTTTGCTTAAAGAAAACTATGAAAAACATGTTCACAGATTATTTTCCTTAGACTTTTAAGACAAGGATGATTACACACTACATTATAATATCTGGCAGAGGTTCATTTGATCACCATATTTTTAGAAATTTAATGTAAAAGAGAAATGCAAAACACATATATGCTCTAGGTCGCTATTTATATTCCTTGTGATGACATTCAAATAACTCTGGCAGCTTTCTGAGTAGTTGGCAGTTTCTACAAAATATGCCAAGGAAGGAACACAACATTACTACACTATTTCATGTCACATTTCTCTAAAACACAAATAGTGAACTTTCACCACATGCTATTGTACAGCACTGCTATGGCAACATCTTTATAGAGTTCCTGAGCTTCTTTGAAAAGTAGGATCTAATAAGCACAGAGGAAGATAAAATGTCATTACTGTGGCTATAATTATCTAAATAAACTCTATATAGAATCACATATTAAAACAAATTTGTTTAGTAAAACTGAGTGTTTTATTCAGCTCAGCTTATGAATTGGTTAAAAATAAGCAAAGAAAACACTGATGGACTGTCTATCATGTTTATTGGATTTTTGTTGCTGGTTAAAAAGGCTAACTATTTTTCATTGTAGAACATTTAGAAAATATAGTTTTGGTCTGTATAAAAATGGCTAACCATAACTAAACCATAATTATACACTATAAGACAGAACCTTTTTCTGTTATAGTATTTTGATATATTTTTCTTTTCTGCAGATACATTTAATATCATTTCCAATTTATTTAAATGTATCATAATAAGTCTAACTCCATATATTTATTTATCAATAGGAATTTATTATTTATTTATTTGTTTATTTTTGAGACAGAGTCTCACTCTGTTGCCAGGGCTAAAGTGTCATGACGTCAGCCTAGCTCACAGCAAACTCAAACTCCTCTGTTCAAGCAATCCTTCTATTTCAGCCTCCCAAGTAGCTGGGACTACAGACTATAGGCATACGCCACAATGTCCGGCTAATTTTTTCTATATATTTTTAGTTGGCCAATTAATTTATTTTTGTTTTTAGTAGAGACGTGGTCCTGCTCTTGCTCAGGCTGGTTTGGAACTCCTGACCTTGAGCGATCCTCCCGCCTTGGCCTCCCAGAGTGCTAGGATTACAGGCATGAGCCACCACGCCCAGCCTATAGGAATTTATTTTTTAAAAATAATCAAATGCTCACATTTTTGTGATTGTTTATTGTTGCCAAAACTTAGTGTACATGCTTAAATTTATTTAAACAGAGGCAATGTTGTGGACATTTTTGGCTGATTTGAAAGAATGTGCCTGAAAGTAAAAGTTTGTGCTAAATCTTCAAAAGAGTAAAAGGAGTGTCTAATACAGCACAATAAATCCACGATGAAGTGAACTGATACAACTAACACATGTATCATATAAGTTTTCAAAGTATGTGTAGATTGAATTACAGGAAAAATGTCGTCCTCCAATAAGCCAATTGATACAATTTTTTAAAAAATATAAATCTGGAACAACACAGTGTTTAGAATAAACAGGAAGTGCATGCAAATCAAACAAGCTCAATGGAAGGGTAAATCACAGAACTTGTAGAGAAAACAATCCATGGACCACATTCACACACACAGAATAGTTTGCAATAGAAACAGCCCTAAGAGATGTGTTTCCCCGAAAATAAGACAGGGTCTTATATTCATTTTTCCTCAAGAAGACACCCTGGGGCTTATTTTCAGGGGATGTGTTATTTTCCTCTCAAAGCCTCAGCTTGCAGCACACACAGGATGGCCGGGACCTGACAGGGGGAGCCTACATTGTTGGTGGGGCTGCCCACACCTTTCCGGTCACCTCTGGGATAGTAGCTGTCACGATGGGACAGATGAGAAGGGCTGCTCATCTTCTTTACTGCTCTGCGACAGACAAAATGCTTGGGTTGTGCAGATATGCTGCATAGCCACACCCATCACTAGTTCTTATTTTCGGGATAGGGCTTATATTGCGCAAATGCTTAGAAATTCTGCTAGGGCTTATTTTATGAGTAGGTCTTATTTTCTGGGAAACACGGTTCATAGAAGAGGAGGAGACGCTTTAAATATTCATACATTAAAGTTCAGAGAGCCTAAGAGGGTGCTATAAACAAAAACACTAGTGATATTTATTTTTAGTTCTAATAAGGAAAATTATCTTTTTGAAAAAGATCTTGACATGAATTAGGTATTAGTTGTTAATTACTACAGACATTTCAAGTGAAAATTCAGACTTCTTCCTCTACTCTCGATCTTTTGTCATGTTCTTGCTTCCCAAGCACATTAAGTTCTCCTGTTAATCATTCACAATCACCATGTCTAATCAGCTATGGATATTGATCCTGACCAGATTCTAGCTAATGTTAGTTAGCACTATAAGTGCTACTGTAAAGTAGACTTGTGGTCTATCTCTTTGGAGGAATATTATAATACAACATTATGTTTCAGTCAGATGACTGTATGCATGATTGTCAACTTTACTTATTGATACAGAAACATTCCAGCCTGTATCTATCTGAATGCATTCTTGGCCTGATCTGGAATCAACTCCTCAATCAAAACTAAATATTTGTATTCATTGAAAGACGCTCTTAGAATGTAATCCAAGTAAAGTGTCTCCAGGGAATGGCATAATTTAAACCCATATGGGACGGAATAAGAGAGGAACTGTTTATGAATTTGGGTTGAAGTATTCATTTAGTACCTCTATCCATGGCAAATTGAGGATTGAATCTGAAGAAACTCACTTACATAAAACATTTTAAAACATAAAATTAACTCACCATTCCGACTCTCTTCATCAATAGCAACTATGGTAGCTGGTGGTCCTCCCCTAGCTAGTTTGCAATCTAAAGACAGAAAATAACCAAAAGTAATAATTAACAACTGCAGGAGCACTCATCCTGAAATCAAACTCATTCAGATTTACATTGACATTTAAGAAAAAATCTTACAACAAAATCATTATGTGTCATTACTGCAGACATTTTATTATTTTAAAAATGTTTTATAAGAACCCATAGATTCCTTACCATATCAAAACACAATCATGTTGTACACCACAAAACTATTAAGATCTTACTGAGAAAACACCAGCAGAGACCACTGGAGAGCAGAAGTCCTTCAGGACAGAGATAATGGGATGGAAATTTAACCCAAAGAAATAACATAAAGGGATGATTAACAAGGATAAATTGTAATTAAAGCTTCACAACAGAAACAAACATAATTGAACTTTAATTGTGATAAAGGGTCTAATTAAAGAGAGTGAATAGAATTTTAATAATGTTCTAAGAGAATAAAACAAAGACAGACAAGCAATGCTCATGAGATTGTTTGGAATTTTTATTTTTGTCTTCTTACCCTCATATTGCCAGTCTGGAGTCAAAAGTATAGAGTCACCAATGGAAGCAGATCAGAAAAATGGAAGAAAGAAAGGAAGAAAGAATATATGTATATGTTTAGCAAGAAATTTAAAGGTATAAAAAGCATTATACAATAACAGATACATCACCTAATGATTTGTGGAAATGGAATATATAAAATATTTATATCAGATTTTATAATTGTAATATAATATTAACACATTAACTTGATAATACACATCATTAGCATTTTAAAACTATTGTAGATAGACTTGAAAACAACATAAAGTACATTTATATGCTTCTTATAAAAAGATAAATACAAGTTATTTATGAACAGTCTACTATCACCATGATGAAAAAACCTTAATAATAAAATTCCTGTCAATCAATAGTGATGATTAATTCATTATTTCAAACACTGTTAATACCCTGCCAAGTATCACATAATGAACTTAAAAATAGTATCATGATCTATAATATTCATGACAATTAAAATGTGAAAACTGTACATTTCTGAGACATAATGTACTCCCCTGGCAGGTATGCAATGAGGCTGATAGGTCTGTGTTATACAGTTATATCTACATGGCACACTCATGTACAGTGTGCCAAGTAATTTGCTTAAAGACATCCAAATATGTGTGTTAACTGGCAGAAGATATCAAGGTTTATTTATTTAGTTATTTATAAAGTTCTACCATTTATTACGTGCATGGGTATGAATGCTTTGGTAAACACTGTTCTATATTGTAAAGTATGTTCTGTCGCATATGAAGCAAGGAAGCTGAGAGATCTACAGTTTTTCTCTTTTCATCCTTGTCAATATTCAAGGGGTTCCAAGTCTTAACATCTTCAGATCTACAATAGCTCATTCTCATTCTGTTCCTTCCTCTCCTTCCTATATCCCCTGACACAAGTCAGCTCTTCACTATTTGTAATCTCAACTCTTGCAATGGTTTCCTCACTGATCTAAAAGCATTGTTTTCATCCTGCATTCACCTGTTCTTTCCTGCATTCACCCATTCATTTCATCCTGCATTCACCAATTCTTTTCATTATTTTTATGTACTCAAATCAAATACAAAATGATGGCATTTCTCTGCACAATAGCCTTACATGGTTCCTTTGCAGTAAGGAAAAAAAAAATTAGGATAACATTTAAAGTTTTTCACATGGTATCAACATCCTTTATTGAGAATTAAGTAACCTGTCCACAATCACATTAAACAACATTAAACCACATACTCTTAATGGAATGTGTCTTGTAGTTTTCAGGAAGTTTTGTTACCTGCATTCATTTTTGCCTTTATTTCTGCCTAGCAGATCGCTACTTCTCGTTGGAGAATTAGAAATTTCACCTATTAATATATCATGAAACATTGACCAATCTCCCAGTCAGAATTTCTTTTACTCCCATGTTCTCATAATATTTTGTTTATCTAGTTCTTCCTTCTTTTATGTATTCAAAACTCATTAATTCATTCAGTCAGATGTGTAGATTAATTACTCAATTCTGAATACGAGAATTTTAAAAAAGGCAACAGCTCCTTTTTTCAAGTATCTTAGGTGGCAGGGGTAGAGACCAGAAGAACAAAGATATACAAGCAACCACAGAGGTATAATACAATGTGGTATATGTGAAGTCAGGTCTTTAATAAATTTACTAACAACATAAATGACTAAAAGAAAAAAGAGACAATACATGTGGAGTGGAAAGGAAATAGCAAGATGGCAGAGATGATTTGAGAGGAGAAAAAAGGAAACCTTACAAGTTCTTAGAAAAGCAAATTTATGGATTAACAAATATAACTTTTGTTTATATTTTTGAGAGCAGTTTATTTTTCAAGATTATTCCCTACACACACACACACACACACACACACACACACACACACACACACGATGTGCCACTGTGTGCTACTGGCTTAGTTAACACCATCACACCTACAAAAATATATTAAAAAGTTGTAGAGGAATATATATTTAATCAATAACCATATGGGCAGGCAGGATAAAAGAAAAAGAAAGAAGGTGAAAGTTAAGTAAAAATATTTTAAATAATTTCACTAGTTGGTTGCTATTAACTTTAAGGGTAAATTTTTCTGGTAGCTAAACCAAATAATATTCTTCATATCCCAGCCCTGTTTAACTCCCCTACCTTTCTCATTTTCATAGTTATTTCTCTAGTCATAACAATTTATCATGCTTGTGGCACCAACTGCTAAAATGAACTTTCTTTTCTTTTTGCTCTGGTTGGTTTTATTCCTCTTTCAAGAATCTGCCAAGGCATCACCTTTTCTAGAAAATCTTCCTTGTTGTCATTCTGGATTAAATGTCATTTCTCTCTATTCCTGTAGTATACATTGTATTTCATCGGATTAACTACTCCATCAGGAAAATACTTATGTGTCTTTTTCTATCACAAGAACTTCCTCAGACCAAGTCTGTATCACATTCATCTTGGTAACTTCAGAACCTGATAAGAGCTTGTCCTGAAAGAATGTTTGTTGAATTTTTCTGAACTGCAATTAACCAAGCTACAACCTCCCACTGAACAGCCCTTCATGAAGGTGCTCAGAAGTCTGTGTTTACTTTCTTCTTACTAGTAGAAACAGCCCAGGAGTAGAGGCTCAACTACATTTCCTCCCAGTCAGATTCCTTTAGATTACTCCTCTTAAATTTTATTCTTTTAGCAGATTCTAAATTCCCCTATAAGATATTTTCATGAACAACGAATACCTCTAGATCAATACAAAAATATTTTTTAAACTTTTTTTAGACTCACAACACTAATAAAGAGAGGTGAGTCAGACACATAAAAATAATCTATTAATAACATTGTTCAAAACAAAGTGTTTGTTTTCAAATGATGCTTTCCTGAAAGTATAATTAATTAGTTTTGAAATTCACAAAAACATTTTTAATAACAAGTATATTCAGAATTGTCTTGAAAAGAAAGCAATTTTGGATGGAATAGCCAAGGGTGTATTATAAATGCAAAATATCCATATGGAGATCAAAGTGAAGACTAGAAAGCCATTGGGGGATGGTGAGCCTGTTCTCTGTGGTTTATGGATAATCTGTCTGCCACGGGAAAGTCAAGTTAGCTGCTGACGCCTGTACCTTAGAAATGGGCTTCTTTAATCTATTTAATTTCACCCTTGACTGTCCTGGTTAAATCACAAATTCATTGTTTTGCATGCCTAAAATTTCTAACTTCTTAAGCCACCACCCATTTCTTATATCCAATTTGTTATAAAGTACAGGATATGAATACCAATACCTGATACTCAGTGTGGCTTATTTCTGCAAATTTGTCATCAAGTTAAAAGTAAGCCATATGTTTTTAAATAATACTTTGCAGCAAGTTGGATTTAAAACCCAAAAAGAAGAGTTAGAATGAGACTTATGTAATGACTGGTCTCAAAGATACTAAACCTGTGATACTTGGTTCTCATTGTAGCCTGAAGTTTAAGAGGATGTTGCAGATAGGTCAGAAAAAAGGCAATAATCTAGAATTTTCTGAATAGGCTTATTTATTACCAAGAAAAGAGAGCAGCCAAGAAGTACAACCTTATTTCCACCTTAACCTATTCTTAAACTTCCTTTTAAGGCCAATAAATGTGTTTTCAATAAAATTTCAAAACTATTCATACTTTTTTTTCCATATACTAACATGGTAATTGCAACCTATATGTCAATGACTTGCATATTATTTCCTACCCTGACCTCTTTTCTGAGTCAGGATCCCATTGCCCAGACAAAAACTACACTTGTAATTTCAAAGTTTTCTTAAACATAGTATTCCAAATTGAATTCTAGTTGCTACCCACAGCCTAAACTTGAACTCTTTTAGTATATATTATTTTAGTGAATAGTATGATTTTATACCAAGCAGCATAAACTAGAAACCAGGGTGTCACTTTTCCTACCCATATCTCTAGCATTCCTAAATAAACCTATTACTAAATCTTGAATTTAATTCTTAAAGGAAAACTTCTCATATCCACCCACTACTTTCAATCTCCACTGGCACTGCACTAATCCTATCTCTTACCTAATCAAGTAGGTTTTCCTAACTACTCTCCCTACAATCTTGTCCCCAGTAAATTTAATTTTCTATGTTTAACTAGAGAAATCTTTTACAAATAAAAAATTGTTTCTTTTTTAATCACTTGCCATTTCTTTTAGATTAAAAACTAAAATATGTTTATGCCCTACATCCCAGTGCATAATATGATTTTAGAACGAAAACTGAAATATTTTATATGGCCTATTAGGTCCTATAAGATATGGCCCTCTCCTTCCTCTTCAATCTCATCTATTCACATTGTCCCATTTTCTTACAGCAAAACTATTCCTGATCCCACACTAGTAAGGTTCCCCAAACTAGGTAAGGTTACACACTCTCATAACTCTCTGCTTCATGCCTATTTACAATTATTTGATTTCTTATGGACAGAAAACTTAGTGACAACCTATACCTTGTTTCTATTCCTCGTGATTGCATCCCCAGGGCAGATTTCCTGGCATATAATTGATTTTAAGCGATCATTTATTACATGCAAGAACTAAGAACCCTCAATCAAATTTGCAACAATAAAATTTAAAAAGTACTCTATATAACTTAGTTTTTCTTTCTTTCTTTTTTTGACCTTTTAAACTTTGAAATGTCATTCTCAAATACAAGTACAGCAGGTCCTAAAATCATTTCTTTCTATTCAACATCCTTTCATTATAACATTGATGAGAAAAAAAGAGAGAGAGAGAGTTGATTCCTGGTGGAGGGCATTGTCTGTGTGAAGTTTGTATGCTCTCCCCATGCCTGAGTAGTTTTCCTCTGGGTACTCTGGTTTCCTCCCACCTTCCAAAGCTGTGCCAGTGAGGTTCATTGGCATGTCTACATGGTCCTGGGCTTAGTGAGTGTGAGTGTGATATGAGGGCATCCCACAATGGGATGGCATTCTGTCCAGGGCTGGCTTTTGTCTTGCCCCTTCAGCTGCCCAGACG